GCCACAAACAGCCCACCTGGAACGGCAACAGGGCATGGTCCGAGGCTGAGGGCGCCCACCTACACCACACCGCCCGCCGCCCTCCCCCGCCGTCACCTCAGGACTGCTGGTCTGCCTTCCGAACGGGAGTCGGACAGCACAGGCTCAACACGAGTTACAAAGGGCGGGGGGTGAGAATGTCCCCATGGGTGTCCACATCCTAACGCCCATGTCATAGACAGAAAACTGTCCCCAAAGATGTTCCCACCCTAATCCACTCTGTCTCTGTGCCTGTGCCTGTTCTGGACGTTGCATGTACGTGGAATCGCACGCTGTGTCCTTGTGTGTCCGGCTCCTTTGAACCTTGTTAGACGTTCATCTGCTTTGTGACATGTGTCACAACCTCATTCCTGTCCAAAGGCAGACGACAGCTCCCTGCACCGACAGACCAGCAGTCTGCACATCCATGCGATGACGGATGTCGAAGTTGTCTGCGTTCTGGGTGCTTTTAAACATCCTGGCCCCACCCATGAAGTGGGACCCGGGAACTGCAAGCTGTAGCCACATCTTGCCAGGACTCTGCTCCCTGAGTCCCACCCTGTGAGGTGCCGTCCTCAACAGCACGGCCTCAGACTGTGCCAAGCGGGCATTGCTTTCTGTGGAAACAGCCGTGACCAAGCAAACCGGCCACAGGTCTGTGCACCGCTGGGGTGAAGCCGGGGTGCTGCTGCACCCACGGCCTCTGTCCCCTCATCGGGACACTGCTAGGGCTTCTGCCTGAGTCAGCGCGTCCCAAATAACCATTCTCACTGCTGTCCAATACTCGCTTGTCGCCCCTCTGTGGGAAGGGCCTCTGACGGTGACGGGAACAGCCTCACAACTGGAAAAGTTCCCTTTCTCGAAGCTGACACGGACGGCAAAGCCGGCACAGCACCCCATCAATGCCATAAACCGGGGGACTTTGTCATGTGTTTGCCAGGAAAGCAACTAACAGCACCGAGGCGAAGGAGGACCCAGCAGGAGACAGGTGGGGCCGGGGCAGCGTGGGAAGGGCTGACGGAGGACATGCAGTGGGGGGCGGGGAGACGCCGTGGGCCGAGGGGTGCGGCCTGGTGCCGTCAGACGGCTCCGTGTGCGAGTGTGCGCACGGCCACGCACGCCACGTCCGCATGGGCGGGTGTGTGTGTGATGTACGCACATGCGCGCACAGCTACATGCACGTGTCCACGGGTGCGCTCACGCACGTACACGCCTGCACACGCGTGTGCACGCGCACGCCCCATGCCGTGTCCACGCCCCGCACCGCGAGCCCAAGGCCAGCGTGGGGTGCGGACGTGGGGGGGGCTCCGGCGGGCGGCGCACCCACCTGGGCGGCCGCAGCACTGCATCTGCTCCAGGTAGCGGACCAGCTTCTCCGGCTTCACCTGGTTCCCCCACCAGTAGGGGATGGCCGGCCACAGCTGCCGGTGCCGGCGCACGGCACACTCGTCATCGTAGGACAGGACGACCTGCTGGCCCCGCGCCCACAGCTGGCGCAGCGTCGGCACCTCCTGCAAGACAGGGGGTGTGGGTGCCCCTGAGGGAGGCGGGAGCAGGTCCTGGGGGGTCTGTGAGAGGAAAGTCATGGGAGCCGACATCGGGGTGTCTGTGAGGAGATACACGGTCTGTGAGAGCACAGTGGGGGGAGGGATAGTCGGCGTCTGAGGAGATAGCGCAGGTTGCACGTGTTACGGGGTCTTTGGAAGACGGCGACAGGGCAGGGCGGCCACGCGTCTCCGCCGTGGCGTCTGCTTCTCGCGAGGCAGCGACACGGGTTTCCCTCAAATGCGCCCTGAGCGCAGTGTCCCAGGGTGGGTGATCACTGGGTCCCTGTGCGACACGTGAAGGGACCAGGACCACTGTCCCTCCTCGGCTGCAAGTCACGCTCCCACGGCCCTCATGCCCCCGTGACGTCCCCGTGACACTCGGTCCCCGTGCGCCCTCTGGAGACCTGAGCCGTGGGTGCCCCTGGGCTCACGGCAGCCCTGTCGTCTCTTAGCTGAGACCTCAGAGGGACAGGATGTCTCTTGCTGACCTCACAGGACGTGACTGGACACACGGCAGTCAGAACTCTTGACATGAACTGATGTAACGTCAAGCTAAGGTCTCGTGGACGTCACTCCTCGGGCTCCCTGGGGACAAGGAGACCAGGCACCGTCCACCCCCCAGCAGACAGAGAAAGCTGACTACGCAGTGAAGCCACAGCTGGGGTTACAGGCCGACTCGTGTCCCCAAAAGCCCACATGCTGAGGCCTAACCCAAGGCGACTAGACGTGGAGCTGCACCCTTACAGAGGGGATCGAGGTGAAGTGAGGTCCCCAGAGCGGCCCCAATCCAAGGGGACTGCGTCCTTATGAGAGGACAGGATGAGGACGTGGAGCTGCACCCTTACAGAGGGGATCGAGGTAAAGTGAGGTCCCCAGGGCGGCCCCAATCCAAGGATGAAGACACAGACACACGCAGACACAGTGCTCAGCATGCACACGGAGCGTCAGATGCTGTGCCAGCTTCTAAACAGGCACCAAGTTTGACCCAAAGTCAGGGGAAGCATCTGGAAGACCCCGTTAGCAGCTTCGCCAGCACGAGAATTATGTCGGCATCGTGATTGGTGGTGTGGGGAGCACATGGGGCCTGTGAGGTAATCTCGCCTGCTCCCCAAGGAGCAGAGCGTCGGGGGCGCGTGGTGTCTCACCCCACGGGGGCACAGCATGTCCCCGAAGATGTTCTTGATGCAGGTGACCAGGTACTCGTGCAGGTCGGCCGTCATGCCGTCGAAGTTCCTGCACGCCAGGATGACCACCTCCCGGGGGTGGTTCTCCAGCCACTCTGAGATCTCCGTGAGCGTGTCCTGCACAGGGGACAGGAGCTTGGGAGGACGGGGTCCCCCTCGCCTGTCGAAGGGGCTTCGCAGCCACTCGCCTGACCCGGGGTCGGGCCCTGAACAAGCCGGATAAAGCACGGGGCTGCCCTCGTGGGACACAGCTGCTCAGGTGACAGCAGGCCAACCTGCCCCGCCTCTGGGGAGAAGCACGTGCGTATGCGTGTGCGTGTGCGTGTGCATGTGCGCGCCCTCCAGCGGGCACTGCGCGTGCAAACGCGGGGGCCGGGAGCTTCAGGGGGACTGCCACTGCCAGCCGGTGACGTGCATGGTGACGTCCCAGCGATGGCCGCTGCAGACCCCAAAGCTCTGCAGGGGCGCAGGACACTGAGGGCGGGTGAAGCAGACGGTGCCCTGTCACACCCAGACTTTACCGAGATCCGTCTAGCGGCCGAGAGAACGGACTGAAGACGAACCGCGGACCGACTTCCACGACAGCGGGGCGGCCCCGGGGGCCAGGGGCTGAGAAGCAGCGTAGTCGAGCTCCAGGCCAGCAGGTGCTGCCGGAGCGGCCGTGGGTGCCCATGGGTGCCCGTGGGTTCCCGCCGCCCCCCACCGCCCACCGCCTACCTCCACCAGCGCGGTCGTGTACATCATGTGCACGAAGTGCAGGTTCCTGGCAGAGCCCTCCAGCATGTGTGCCACACGCAGGTCCAGGTAGCGCACCCCGGCGTCCAGCTGCTCCGTCACGTTCAGCGCCTGTGCACAAGGACAAGTGTCCGCCAGACGGGCCTCAGGCGGCACTCCGGCCTTGCACTTGGGACCGGCTCTCCAGGGCACATTGGCCAGTCCCTCGGGGGCCGTCCTGGGACGCAGCCAGGCCGACCCGCCCCTGCAGTCACTGCCACTCAGCCCCGACACTGGACTCGGCCGCTCCTGCAGGCCCCTGCCTCACCCTCTCCTTGGGCGGTCACTGGAAGGACGTCTCTGGCCTCTGCAGCCACAGGCCGGGCTCCAGGACACCCCACCTGGGCCCTTGGAGTTACCCAGGGGGTCGGCCACTGCAGGCACTGTCCACCCACAAACAGCACTGGGACAGGAAAGGTGCGTCGGGGCGGAGCAGGGGAAGGGTCTGCCCCCCACACGGAGGAACGGTGCAGAAGGGAAAACTCTCGAAAAGACCGAGTGCGGAAAATAAGACCGTTTACCTCCATCCGAGGGAACGGCAGAAAAAGCAAAATGTAACATTAACACAAAACAGCAAAAGAAAATGCTACTGCCCCCTGGGGAAAACAGAAATTTCAAAAAAGCAAAAATTAACATGAAAACGAAGTCAAGGAAGACAATACAGTCCTGCACGCTGCGCGCAAAATGATTGACAGAGCAAAACAGAAAACAGAAAAAAGGAAAAAGGAATGTATCACGTCCTGTTCACAAATTAACAGGAACAGGCAGCACGGACGCCGAGGAAAACACCGAGACTTCGCGTGGAAATCACTTCCCGCCCCGCGTGTTCCGCAGGGTCTGGCTGCTCGTTCGCGCCTGCTCCTGACCGCGCAGGAAAGAGGCCCACTGTGCGCCTGGCGTGTGTACGCAGGGCCCGGCGTGTGTGTGAGCGTGTGTCTCTGTATCTGTGCGTGTGCATGTGCGTCTGTGTGTCTGGCGGTGCCTTGGCCGCGGTCGGCCCGTGGTCATGGACCCTCAGTCCCAGGGCCACAGAGGCCCTGTGAGGGCGAATTGACAGCTGTGGCTACAGCAGGGGCCGGGTGTCCCTCTGTGTAAAATGGGTGCTGAGGCTGACATACGGTCCTGTGGCCAGGGCTGACCTTGCTGAGGTCAGGGACCCGCAGACCCCAGAGGCAGGATGCTTGTTATGGAGGGAGTGAGGCCCCCCTGCCCCGTCCCGCCCGCCAGTCAATGTCACGGCTTAAGTAGCCTCTGATGACAGCGGGTTTTCACAGGAGAATGCTTCCGGCGTCCACACTCCGTTCCCATTTGGGGGGCCGTGTGACGGGACGGCAGCCTGTGGTCCGTCCCCAGCCCGTTCCCCGCCAGCTTCCGGCCTTTTCAGCAGCACCATGCCGCCCACAGCGAGTGCCCAGGGCACTTCCGTGTCCTGCCTGGAGCTGCGGTGCATCCCGCCCTTCCTTCCCGCGGGGCGTCCACCCCCCGACAGAGCTTAGGAATGCGGTTCCCCAGCGTTCCCGGCGCTGTCTGTCAGTCAGCCCTGTGACGAAAATGCAGAGCAAAGGAACTAGACAGGACAGCTGGGCTGGAGGATGAGTCCCTGGGGGTAGAGAACCCGGCAGACCAGGCCCCCAGTGCAGGCAGTGGGGAGGGCTGGGGGTCCACTGCTCCTGGGTGGACCTGCCTCAAGGCCACCACCGGGGCTACAAGCCGGGTGCCCAGACCGCAGCCGCCGGTGTCCCCACCCACAGCCTGGGCCACCCTGAGCAGCTGCGGGAGCCCCGTACTCCACCCCACCCAGGAGGACCCCGCCCGCCAGCTTCTCGCCAGGCCCCAGTTTCCACAGGCACGGGGGATGGGCTGTGGGTGAACCTAAATTCTGAGGGCGAGGGCTGAGTTCCCCCATGGGAAATACGGGAGCAGACGCCGCCCTCACTCCCTCCGCCGAAGCATTTCCTTGGAAAACTTGCAGGTGACAGTTCCTTGTGCCTTTTCCGAATGTGTGTAAAGCTGTTCCAAGCCCTGGGCCAGTCTCGCAGACCGAGGCTGTTCCAGGGCCGGGGCGTCTGGGACGTGAGGGAGGAGGGACACGTGGGAAGACACAGTGTGACCCCACATGCGAGGGTGGGACCCTCCCCGTGCCCGTGATCTGTCAGCGGCTTACCTGGGTGACAGACCACTTGAGCACGACGGGCTGGGTGATGCACGGCAGGACCTTGGCCAGCAGCCGCAGCAGCCTGGACTCGTTGGGCGAAATGGGGGATTTCCGGTTCAGGCAGTACGTCATCGTGTCGTGGCTCCCTGGGCACAAAGTGAGGACACGGTCCACCAGCAGGCCTCCCCCTCCGCTCTGCGCTTGGGGCCGCGGTGGAGGACATGCGGGGGACAGGCCGAGGACACGCAGAGACCAAGCGGCAAACATGCAGGGAACACATGCCTGGTGCCGGGGGCGGTGGTGGCCCAAAGCCACCCAGAACCTGTGAGGGGACGACGTGGAGACAGGGTCTGTGCAGACGGGACTAAGTGAAGGGTCTGAGGTGAGTCCTCCTGGAGCAGGTGACCCTAAACCCAGTGACAGTGTCCTCGTAAGAGACAGAAGAGGAGACACAGACACAGAGAAGCCACGTGGAGACTGAGATAGAGATGGCAAGGACGTGGCCACCAGCCCAGGGACACCTTGAGCCCCCAGACTCTGGGAGAGGCAGGAAAGACCCTCCCCTGGGGCCTGTGGAGGGAGCGAGGCCCTGGGAACCCTGATGTCACACTGCTGGTCTCCAGGACGGGGGGAGGACGGACGTCTGTGGTTTTAACACATTGACCTGTGCATTGTGCCGTAGGGGCCACAGAAAACTCATGTACTAACAGCTTTTAACTGCAAAAAAAATGAAAACATACAGCTAAGTAAAAAAAACTAAAATGCTCTATTGAGAAAACATGTACTTTATATTTCTATGTTTCCTATATAATATATACGGCTCCATTTATGCACATTTGGGATTAATCCATTTATGTACATTTTTATATATCTACATGTCACACAAACAAGATCAAACTATGGAGTTTTTAGCTGCGTTTTCCTTAACTTGACGACAGCGTTTTCTACACCAGGACTTGTGGGAGCCAGCACTGTCTCAGTGACTGTCCACTCTGGCATGGTCTGTGTGTGGCCGACGGGTGTCACTGGATGTGGGGACCATCATATTCCCCAGCGTGGGTGGCACCACCCTGCATATCTCGGTGTGTGAGTGTGTGAGTGTGTGCGTGTGTGTTGCACGCCCACCAGTCTCTTCTTCGAGACTAAATCTTGGCACTGGACTCTGGCCAGGCGGTGGGAGGGTGGTCACTTCACAGCTTACAGCCCTCGGCTAGCAACTGTCCCCGAGTCCCCCGGAGGGGACGCTGCAGCCCCGAGACTCTTGGTGTCAAGAAGCCCTCAGGCAGAGGGGGTATCGGTGCGTGTGCTCCGCACTGTCACGGCTGCTGGTGGCCACGTCCTCATGGTTCTCAGTCACTGGGCTGTGTCCTTCAGAGTCCCCGACTGGCCGTGGGGCCAATTTTCCGTGGCTCTGTGTCCTTCCCTCGCAGTTCTAAGCTCTCTGTGTGGGCGGCAGCCCCCAGTGTGGGTTTCAGGTCCATCTTGGGCTGGAGGTCAGTGCACAGGGGACGGGTGAGGGATGCTCCGGGAGGGAGGAGGGACAAGGGGCAGAGGAAGATACCATCTGCAGCTCTATCCCGCAGTGGCCTCTGGAGAGGGTGGGATTCATTGGGGCGCGGTCAGCGGTGCCAGCCCAGCAGGGCCCCGCGAAAGAGCCCCAGGTTCTCAAGCCACGTGCAGGAGGCTGTGCCGGTGTCCTGGGGCGGCCATGACACAGGACCACAGATGGCTGTGTCCCCTCACGTCCTGGAGGCTTGAACTCTGCTCAGGCTCCAGGCTCCGTGTCCGGGGCTGGCTCCCTCCGGAGGCTCCGGAGATTGGTCTGTGTCCTGCCCTTTCCAGCTTCTGGGGCGCCTGCCACGTTCCTGGCCAGCAGCGCAGCGTCCGCAAAGCTGCCGGAGCAGGGGGCTCGGAGCCCAAGTCATCAAGGCCACAAACTGAGCGCGAGAAGCTCAGCGTGCTGTGAACGTCTCCGTGGCGACAGCACTTTCGTTTGTCCAAAGGGTCCGTGAGTGAGAGGCGGCCCAGAGTAGTGGCGGCCCAGGGCGTCATAGGCCAAAGAGACTCAGGTCTCACGGCCGAAGGGAGAATGCGAGGCGTCTTCACGTGCCGAGGGCTGGCAGCGGCAGCGCGGGCGGGCAGAGACCCCGGTGCACGCGCTGTGGTGGCTGCGCGGCCATCTCCCCGATGTGGGGACACGGGCGCCTCTCCCTGTGACCGCCCCCTACTCGGGTCGCCTTGCGTCCCACCCGCGCTGAGGCATCTGTCCAGGGCCCCCCCGGGGTGGCCTTTTTTTGCGCTTAAGCAGGCTGGAGTGGGAGACTCTTCAGTTTGGTGAGAAAATGCCAAACCACATAGTGAGTCCTCAAAGCAGTAAGTCCTCGTCAACAGCTCATCCTTGTTACAATGAGTTGTCGTCACAGTATGCCCTCGTCACAGCTCATCCATGTCACAGCATGAACTTGTCACAGTGCATCCTCGTCACAGCGCATAGTTGTCACAGTGAGTCGTAACGGCGTGTCCTCGTCACAGAGAGTCCCAGTGGTTCTGTCCCAGCTTTGGGCCATCCGGTCGCCCAGCGCAGACACTCGACTGACCTCAAACGGAGGGCGATGACGGCGGAGGGAGGGGCTGTGATTCCCGGGCGTCCGCAAAGCGGGACACACTGGCCAAGGGCGCGTCCCCCAAACCCCCACACCCTGCGATCGCCGCACAGCACGGTCTGCTGGGGGCGCCAGGCGCCAGGCGCAGAGCGAAGGCTCGTGGTCGCGTGTGCGTGCGCGTGCGTGCGTCTGCGTGTACGCGCGCGCGCGCCCCCCGGCTCCCCGCACACTAGACCCCGCCTGCAGCCCGCAGCCTCGCGGGGCACCCGTGGCCTTACCTGGGATGGAGAGCTGGTGCAGGGGCACGTCCCACAGCCGCGGGCACAGCGCCGACATCCAGTCCGCGTTGGCGCCCGAGGCCCCGGCCAGGCTGGGGCTGGGGCCGCGGCCGGCGGTGCAGACCTGCGAGCCCATCACAGGCGGCGGGTGGGGCCGGAGGAAGGGAGCGGGTGGAGCGGTCAGCACGGAGCGCACAGCAGCCAGTCGCTCGGGGGACGTGGCCTCGAGAGAAAAGAGCCTCAGCGTTCCTGGAGGGCAGGACCGGGCTGGGAGTGTGGGGACAGTCAGGGACAGAGGGACAGACAGACAGACAGACACGGAGACACCCAGGACCCCAAAGCCGCTTTCCCAGAGGACCGCTCACCCTCGGGTCACTACTGACCCCCAGGACCGAGGGAAGGGTCTGCAGTGTGGGATCCCAACGTGAGTAGCGCCTCGTCTACACCGGGCTCGGCCCCTGTGTCGGGGTGCTGGGCTCTGCCTGCGGGGGTCCCCGGACACACACTGACACGTCGCCTTAGGAGAACCGGCCGTCAGAGCCAGAGGCTGGAGGCTGTCGTGGGTTCCTAAGTCACGGCAACAGCGTGTGACGACCACGTGTGATGACCACCGTGAGTGCACAGCGGGCACGAGCCAACTCGGTCTCAGGGTCAGCGGACAAGGGCTAAGCGGACAAGGCCGGCCTGTCCCCTGGGCCGCGCGCTACGCGAGTGACCGACGCATCCAGGGCAGGTCTGGATGCAGCAGCGGGCAGGACGCGGCCCACCCAGGTCCACTGACACGGAGGTCCCTGTGTCTTCCGCGGCAGCGCCTGCGGAAGGTGCGGACGCTGCGGGACAGGGCGCGGCTGCGGTCCGCGGTGACACACCTGGGCCGGACCCCGCCCGCAGCCTCCTTCCGTGCGGGCCACGAGCAGCGGTGACGAGCGCGCAGAGCCCGTGCAGGA